TCGAATGCTTGTTTTACGTCGATGAATACCTCAGAGCAATACTCACTGTCTTCAAAAGCTTTGTGAATGATTGAAGTTATCCTATGAGCCTGTTGTATAGTGGAGTGAGATTGTCTAAAACCAAATTGATGATCTGGTATCGCGGTAAGATTTTCTTGGATTCTTACTAGTAATATTTTTTCCAATAGTTTAGATATAACCGGTTGAAGACTAATTGGTCTGTATGAATTAGCCATATGACTAGGTTTACCTTGTTTTTGTAACATTATTTCTTCGGAGTTCTTTAGGTCCTTTGGCCAATATCCCAAACGTCGTACTCCATTGAATATATAAGTCAGCATTATTAGACCTTTTCTTGGCAGTTCTTTCAAAATTTTAGCATCCAATTGATCAATTCCTGGACATTTCTTGTTATTTAAAAGTGAAATTTGTCTCTTAATTTCTTTTGGTGTAACCTGTTTAATGTTTTCAGTAGTGCCTTTTATCTCATTAACTTCATCAGATACTCGCGGTTGTTGACTATTTTCATTTGGAGTAAATACGTTTCTTAGATAGTCCGCAAACATATTCGCCTTTTCTTGATCACTCCTAGCCCATGGTCCTTCCGAATCTAATCTTATTGCCGAGTTAGTTGTTATAGGTCTTCTAGTTTTTTTAATTGGTGTCCAAATCGTGTTATCATACTTGTTAAGATTAGTAATATAGTTCATTATGCCAATTTCTCTCCACTGTTTTAATTCATGTTTAAGTTTTCTTGCCAAATTATTGTATATTGTTTTATCGTGCTGGTTATGACTTCTTTGCCAGACATTTCTTGCCTTTCGTTTATCCTTTATAAGCTGCCTAATTTCCATTGGTACGTTGATTTCCAGTTTATGTTGCGCTAGTTCTGGTGTGGCAAACCTAGCGGCTTGTTGAAGAGTACTTATAAACTGTTCAGTTATTTTGTTGAGATCGTTTTCATTTTTAATTCTTACTTTAAGGTTGATTTTTGAATCAATTACATTTCTGAAACACTCCCAATTCGTTTTGTGGTTGTACAGTTTGCGTTGTACCTTCCGTTTTATTACATTAGTACTTAGGGTCAAAATTATGGGCGTATGATCCGAAGATAAGTCTTCATTACTTTCTATATCAATATAATTATTCTAGCAGATCCGGTATCTTCTGTATGTCTGTTGGCCAGTAGGTGGGACTCCCAGTTGTTATTATGGTATAGTTTTTCTCATATATTAACTCTGCCAGTTGTTTACCTTTTGGAGTCGTAAGTCTTGAGCCCCATATTATATTTTTAGAGTTGAAGTCACCACCAACTATAAATTTATTTCCTAATGTTTCAAAATATTCTTCATAATCGTTTTTCTTTAGATTATATCGTGGAGGGCAATAGATGGCTGAAACAATCATATTGTGTTCGAAACCTTTTATTTTAACTGATGTTGCCTGTATATGGTTTTGTTGATATTTCGCTAACTCATAGTGTTCTATTGATGATTTTATTAGAATACCAGCCCCAGCGTGTGCTGTGTTGTCAGGATGATTAGTACCATAAAAGTTGTAGAATGGAATTTTTATGTATGAAGACTCTGTGAGATGAGTTTCGCTTATTAATAAGATGTCAATCATTTGTATTTGGAGAAGACATAGTTAATTCATTTAGATGATTTAGAATGCCATTTGCATTCCATTCAGCAATCCGCAGTGAGTTAGCCATTATTTCTTAGCCAAAATAGTGAGCATCTGCATGATCATATTATTTTGTTCCATGAGTTGTTTAAACATATCTCTAAAACTGTTCAAGAAATCCTGTAGTACCGTACTTGTTTCGGGCCCGCTGGTTGCGTTTCTTTGTTGATTTCGGATGACTTCCGAGTAGCTCATGTGATTTGTGTTTCTGATGTTAATATTTTGACGACTTGTGTTTGGATCATGAATATCTCTCGTATCATGTGATTTTTTTGTTGTATATGTTTTCTTGTAAGCAGTGGAGTACGCGGCCTTGTATTCTTCGCAACCTCTGTAATTTGAGGGGTGATCTTTACCACAAAGTGCGCACGTAGCAGGCGTACTTTTTGGTTTTACGCAAATTTTTGAGTTATGATTTTCTCCACATTTGACACAAGCAAATGGTCGATTGCAATATGTTTTGCAATGACCATAATTTTGGCATCTTGTGCATTGTATTAATCCTTTTCTCTTTTTGGGCGCTTCAATTACTACAATATGGTTCAACTTCGTGATATTGTAAATTTCTTTATTATTATTAGAGGGTTCCAAATCAACAAAAAACATGTTGAGTGGCTTTTTAGTTATATACGATCTCATATTTATTATATTTCTGACCTTGTGATTTTTCTTCTCTAGTTCCGTTTTTATTTCGTTGATATCGTATGTATGATGGATATTTTTGAGTACCACTCTGTATGCTCTTTCATTTCTAAGTTGATAAGTATGATAAACAGTACCTTTTGTTTTGAAAAAGTTTATAAGCAGCTTGTATTGCTCGGGCTGTTGAACATTTATTTTCACTGTATCGTCCGACATTGATTTTGTATAATATTGTTCTCTGTTTATTACACTATTAATATCAGATACCATATCAGAAAAATTATTTACGTTATATAGAAATATAGGAGGTGGCCTTGTAGTTTTCTCGGTGTTATCAGTTTGTGTTTTTGTTGTTTCGGACGGATGACCTTTGTTTGTTTTTAATGCATCGAACCTGTTTCGAGTCGGCGTTATGTTTACATTTTCGACATATTTATTAGCCGATGTGCGTCTGCGTTTGCTGCCTGGTTCTATTGTTTGCCAAGAAGTTGACGGAACTATTTCGTTCATAATCGTATCGTCTGATTGATTTTTTTCATTAATTGAACTATTAGTTTTCTGATTGATGATTACTTGTTTGCTGCCTGGTTCTATTGTTTGCCAAGAAGTTGACGGAACTATTTCGTTCATAATCGTATCGTCTGATTGGTTTTTTCCATTAATTGAACTATTAGTCTTCTGTTTGTTGATTACTTGTTTAATATATTCATTGTCCATCGTCGACGTATCATGAAGAATGTTGATAGTTTCAACTAACGGAGGGATAGAATAAGTTATATTTCTTGATTTTGCATACTTGTAATAAAATTATTCACTTATTTACAATTAAATGCCCCCCCTAAAAGGGGCATTTGTTGTACGAAACACTGTATCACTACACTAGATATTTGGTGATTAACAATCACACTTGTTGTTTACGTAACACTATTGCGCACTATTGAATTTCAGCTTCGATCCGTTCGGGTCGGCTGCTCGAGCTCAACTACATGGCAGTAATTTGAATAAAATTATTTTCCATTATTAACCTGAAGCTCTTCCAAATAAAAAAATAATTTGAGATGATATTTGGTAGTCTTTTCATAGAATTTTTCAACTTCCCGTAGAGTAAGTATATTTACTTAGAGAAAATTGATGTATCTGTGTGTTTGTGTTTATATAGCGAAGGAAATGCATCGCAGACTGGTCTTTTGTCTAGGTATGTCGGACTCAATACCGCCTATTCTTCTATTTAAAACTAAAATTAGTATTCTATGTTTTTGGAACTGTGAGTACATTTTTTTCGGT